TCCACTTTATTCCATTGTATTAAATTTTATTCCATTTTAATGCCTTTTATTTCATTTTATTCCATTTTAAAATAGTTGAAGTATCACTTCAACTATTATATAAGTTAAATAATTTAATTTTTTAAAAAAACCTTATAAGAGAAAATATAACCATTAAAAAAATTATTTTTATTTTTATTTTTATAATGGGGTTTATATATATATATTTATAACCATTAAAAAGTAAAATAATAATAATAATAATAATAATGACAATAATAATAAAAATAAAAATATTTATTATTATTTTTATTTTTATATATATAATGGGGTTTATATATATTTATAACTAATAATAATAATAATAATAATAATAATAATAATAATTATTATTATTATTTTATTTTATATATATTTTATTTATATATGAAGTTTATATATATAAAGTTTATATATATATAAGTTTATATATATTTATAACCATTAAAAATTAAAATAATAATAATAATGATATAATAATAATAATAATAATTCTTTATTTTTATTTTTATATATATAATGGGGTTTATATATATTTATAACCATTAAAAATTAATAATAATAATAATAACAATAATATTTTTAATTTTTATTTTATATATATAATGGGGTTTATATATATTTATAACCATTAAAAATTAAAATAATAATATTAATAATAGTAATAATAATAATAATTTATTTTTATTTTCATTTTTATTTATATTTTTATAATGGCTTTTATATGTATTTATATGTTGTGTTTTCCCAAGCTGGTGGAATTTGTGTTTCCCAGGATTCAGGGACAAACCTTCCTGTCTGGGCTGCAGTTCCTGGCAGGGATGGGTTATTGATCCTCCTTAATTCCAGCTTGAGCAGGAGATTTCCTTGGTTTAGGGGATTTTAGGCCTGCCCAAGGAAGGTTTGGTCCCAGCGGGCACAGGAGGCAGGGGAGGAGCAGAATTTGATTTTTCTGTGTTTATTGCAGGCAATCATCAAATTCCTGCAGGACCAGGGCGTCCTCATCCTGCTCACGTCCTCAGCCCTGGCACGGGAGGATGGTGAGGCCAGCCCGGCCTGGGCCGCAATCCTGAGGGGTTTGGGGCCTAAACTGGGCCTGGGCTGCATTCCTGAGGGCTTTGGGAGCCTAAACTGGGCCTGGGCTTCAATCCTGAGGGGTTCAGGAGCCTAAACTGGGCCTGGGCTGCAATCCTGAGGGGTTTGGAGCCTAAACTGGGCCTGGGCTGCATTCCTGAGGGGTTTGGGGCCTAAACTGGGCCTGGGCTGCAATCCTGAGGGGTTTAGGGCCTAAACTGCGCCTGGGCCGCAATCCTGAGGGGTTTGGGGCCTAAACTGGGCCTGGGCCACATTCCTGAGGGTTTAGGGCCTAAACTGGGCCTGGGCTGCAATCCTGAGGGGTTTGGGGCCTAAACTGGGCCTGGGCTGCATTCCTGAGGGGTTTGGGGCCTAAACTGGGCCTGGGCTGCATTCCTGAACGGTTTGGGAGCCTAAACTGGGGCTGGGCTGCATTCCTGAGGGGTTTGGGAGCCTAAACTGGGCCTGGGCTGCATTCCTGGGGTTTGGGAGCCTAAACAGGGCCTGGGCTGCAATCCTGAGGGGTTTAGGGCCTAAACTGGGCCTGGGCTGCAATCCTGGGGGCTTTGGGTGCCTAAACTGGGCCTGGGCTGCAATCCTGAGGGGTTTAGGGCCTAAACTGGGCCTGGGCTGCATTCCTCAGGGGTTTAGGAGCCTAAACTGGGGCTGGGCCGCAATCCTGAGGGGTTTGGAGCCTAAACTGGGCCTGGGCTGCATTCCTGGGATTTAGGAGCCTAAACTGGGCCTGGGCTGCAATCCTGCGGGGTTTAGGAGCCTAAACTGAACCTGGTTTCTCAAACTGAACCTGTTCTTTTAAACTAAACTTGGTTTCTCAGACTAAACCTGGTTTCTTAAACTAAACCTGATTTTTTAACCCAAACCTGGATTCTTAACCCAAACCTGATTTTCCAAACTAAACCTAGTTCCTTGACCAAAACTTGGTTTCTCAAACCCAATGTGGTTTCTTAACCAAATCCTGGTTTCTTATTTGAAACCTTCTTCCTTAACCCAAATGTGGTTTCTCAAACTAAACCTGGTTCCTCACACTGAACCTGTTTTTTTAAACTAAACCTGGTTTCTCAAACTAAACCTGGTTTTCTCAAGCTAAACTTGATTTCTGAACCCAAACCTGATTTCTTAACCAAATCCTGGTTTCTTATTTAAAACCTGGCTTCTCAATCCAAACCTGGCTTCTCAATCCAAACCTGGATTCTTAAACTAAACCTTTTTCTCAAACTGAAATTATTTTTTTAAACTAAACCTGGTTTCTGAACCCGAACCTGGTTTCTCAACAAGAATTAGGTTTCTGAAACCAAGGCTGGTTTCTGACGGGGCCTGGTGTGTGCTTTGCAGGCCTGGAGCGCAGGGAGCCCGTGACCCTGCTGGCCCTGTTCCTGTTCCGCTCCCGCCGCGCCCTGGGCCCCCGAGGTAGGAACTGAGCCAGGCCCAGCCTGGACCCCTGGCCTGAGGGGCCCAGAGCTCTGCAAAAGGTGGAGCTGCTGCTCCAAGGGTGGGGAGTGGGGTGGGACACACCGGGAGCAGGTTTGGGATGCTGGGTGGGATTGGGATGTTTGGTGGGATCCACCTGGAGCAGGTTTGGGATGTTTGTGGGATCCACCTGGAGCAGGATTGGGATGTTGGGTGGGATCCACCTGGAGCAGGTTTGGGATGTTTGTGGGATCCACCTGGAGCAGGATTGGGATGTTGGGTGGGATCCACCTGGAGCAGGTTTGGGATGTTTGGTGGGATCCATCCATAGCAGGTTTGGGATGTTTGGTGGGATCCATGTGGAGCAGGTTTGGGATGTTTGTGGGATCCATCAGGAGCAGGTTTGGGATGTTTGGTGGGATTGGGATGTTTGGGTGGGATCCATGTGGAGCAGGTTTGGGATGTTTGGTGGGATCCACCTGGAGCAGGTTTGGGATGTTTGGTGGGATCCATCCAGAGCAGGTTTGGGATGTTGGGTGGGATCCATCCAGAGCAGGTTTGGGATGTTGGGTGGGATCCATCCAGAGCAGGTTTGGGATGTTTGGTGGATTCCATCCAGAGCAGGTTTGGGATGTTTGGTGGGATCCATGTGGAGCAGGTTTGGGATGTTTGGTGGGAGCAGGTTTGGGATGTTGGGTGGGATCCATCCAGAGCAGGTTTGGGATGTTGGGTGGGATCCACCTGGAGTAGGTTTGGGATGTTTGGTGGGATCCATCCAGAGCAGGTTTGGGATGTTTGTGGGATCCACCTGGAGCAAGTTTGGGATGTTTCGTGGGATCCATGTGGAGCAGGTTTGGGATGTTTGGTGGGATCCACCTGGAGCAGGTTTGGGATGTTGGGTGGGATCCATTAGGAGCAGGTTTGGGATGTTTGGTGGGATCCACCTGGAGCAGGTTTGGGATGTTTGGTGGATTCCATCCAGAGCAGGTTTGGGATGTTTGGTGGGATCCATGTGGAGCAGGTTTGGGATGTTTGGTGGGATCCATCCAGAGCAGGTTTGGGATGTTTGGTGGGATCCATGTGGAGCAGGTTTGGGATGTTTGGTGGGATCCATCCAGAGCAGGTTTGGGATGTTTGGTGGGATCCACCTGGAGCAGGTTTGGGATGTTTGGTGGGATCCATCCAGAGCAGGTTTGGGATGTTTGGTGGGATCCACCTGGAGCAGGTTTGGGATGTTTGGTGGGATCCATCCAGAGCAGGTTTGGGATGTTGGGTGGGATCCATCCAAAGCATTTGGACATTTCTCCAAGGCTGAGCTTTTTGCTTGCTGATTTTTGGAGCTTTTGACTTCAATGTTTCCTTCCCTTCCCTTCCCTTCCCTTCCCTTCCCTTCCCTTCCCTTCCCTTCCCTTCCCTTCCCTTCCCTTCCCTTCCCTTCCCTTCCCTTCCCTTCCCTTCCCTTCCCTTCCCTTCCCTTCCCCTTTCCTCCTTTCCCCCTTTCCCTTTTACCCCTTTCCCTTTTCCCCCTTTCCCCCTTTCCCCTTTCCCTTTCTCCCCTTTCCCCTTTCCCCTTTCCCTTTTTCCCTTTATCCCCTTTCCCCTTTCCCTTTTTCCCTTTTCCCCCCTTTCCCCTTTCCCCTTTCCCCTTTCTCCCCTTTCCCCTTTCCCTTTTTCCCCTTTCCCCCTTTCCCCTTTCCCTCCAGCGTCTCTCTGCCCCACTGCAATGACTCAGTGACTCCCCCCCTGTTCTAAGTGGCCCGATGATCGCTTTTGTTTTGGTTTTCGCAGAGGAGGAGCGGGATGCCCCGGGCAGGAGGGAGGGCAGTCCCCGGAGCTCGCTGTCCCTGCAGATCGCCTCGGTGGTGCCGGGGCTGCGCTACGCCCTGCGCAGAGCGGCCGCCGCCTCCCCCCGCGGGGCCACGGGCAGCCCCCGCATCCAGGAGCACCTCCAGGAGTACGCACAGCTCCAGGAGAGCTCCCGGGCTGGCATTCCTGGTGTCCCTGTCCCCTCTCCATGCCGGGACGGGGATGCTGGCATCCAGGAGCACCTCCAGGAGTACGCACAGCTCCAGGAGAGCTCCCGGGCTGGCATTCCTGGTGTCCCTGTCCCCTCTCCATGCCGGGATGGGGATGCTGGCCCTTCCCAGAAGCTCTCGGAGCAATCCCTGGCCCGGCTGCGCCGTTACCTCTCCGACCCCGGCAGCTTCACCCTGGGGATCTCAGCAGCCTTGCAGTGTCTCCGTGGGGCTGCCAGGAATGTGGCAGATGATCCTGGCAATTCCTCCTCCTCCTCCTCCTCCTCCTCGGTGCCCCCGGGTGCTGCTCCTTGCACCAGGGCAGCGGGAGCCGCGCGGGATAAGGGAGAGCTGCTGCCCACCTCTGCTCCAGAGATATTCCTCAAAAGTGTCACCTCTCCCACCAAGCCCTGGGGCCGGGAGGCCAGGAGGAAATCCAGCAGGATCCTTGGGAAGAGCATTCCCAAGGCACCGACACCTCCTGGGGAGAGCAGCAGCAGGAGCAGGGAGGCAGCCAAGAAAAAAACCGGCGTCGCTTCCTCTTGTCCCAAAAAATCGGGATCCGCGGGCAATTCCAACGAGCCCATGCTGAAACTGGCCAATTTGCAGTTGCCACATGGGAGGAAAAGAGGTGAGTGCTGGAAAAATGGGATTGGTTTGCTCCTCCCACCCAGCTGGGATGCTCAGGGTTCACCGGGAACCATCCAGGAACTTTGTGAGTGCCTGGAGCATCCAAATAAATCTCAGGAATGATTCCAGGGAAGCTACCTGGAATTGGGTGCTTCCAGGTCAGATTTTACTTATTAAAATAAATTAATTATATTCCAAATTAAATCAGGATAATGAGGAGTAAAATCACCAAAACCCCTTCCTCGCGTCCCTCCCTTTTCCCCATGAATTTTTAACCCAAAGAATTCCCAAATTTAAACCAACCCCTCCTTTTCCCTGTCCCAGGTGCAGAGGTCCTGGCTGCAGAAATTGTCCACAAACCCCAGTGTGAAGGTGCTGAGAAGGAGAAGGAAAGCTCAGCTCCCAATGGTCCTTCTGTGGAGGCAAAGAGGCCAAAAACCCTGGAAAACGTGGACACAAAGAAGGCTCCTGTCACCGAGAGTGGCACAAAGCCAGGGAAAAGCAAAGTGCAGAAAAACCTGGAAAACAGAGCAGCAAAACCTCCGGAGAAGCAGCAGGAAGGGAGCGGTGAGAAAAAAATTCCCTTGGGGAGAAAATTCCTTTTAAAGCTGAGCCATTCCGTGGCAGGGAGGAAAGGAATGGGTTTGGATCGAAGCAGGGAAAATGTCAAATATTGGGGAGAAATTCTGGGATGAAATTCCCAAGGAATCCTCCTGGATCCCTAGAAGTGTCCAAGGCCACTGGGATAATGGGATGAGCCAGGGGGTTGGAATGGGATGATCCTTGAATTCCCTTCCAGCATTCCATGATCCAGCATTCCATGATCCAACATTCCCTCCTTTGGAGCTCCCAGAGTGCATCCAGCATTTCTCCCATGGGGTGGCTCCTGCTAAACCCCAAAAAAATCCCAAAAAAAGCCAGTTTGTCTGTACAAAACCCTCAATCCAAAAATTGATTTTTTCCCCCTTTCTAAATGGATTTTTCCCTAAGTGGATTTTTCCCTTTCTAAATGGATTTTCCCCCCTTTCTAAATGGATTTTCCCCTTTCTAAATGGATTTTTCCCTTTCTAAATGGGTTTTTCCCTTTCTAAATGGGATTTTCCCTTTCTAAATGGGTTTTTTCCCTTTCTAAATGGGTTTTTCCCTTTCTAAGTGGATTTTTTCCCCTTTCTAAATGGATTTTTCCCTTTCTAAATGGATTTTTCCCTTTCTAAATGGATTTTCCCCTTTCTAAATGGATTTTTTCCCTTTCTAAATGGGTTTTTCCCCCCTTTCTAAATGGATTTTTCCCTTTCTAAATGGATTTTTCCCTTTCTAAATGGGTTTTTTCCCTTTCCAAATGGGTTTTTCCCCTTGTTCCCCCAGAGCGGAAGGCGCTGCCCTCGGAGCTCCCCAGCGAGGCCTCATCCCAGCCCCCTGGAGCAGAAATCCCAAGGAATGTTCATCCCATGGCGATTCCCAGCGTTGCCTTTGCCCTGCCCGGGGACAACAGCGACTCCCACGCCCTGAACCTGCTGGCTGACCTGGCCCTGGGCTCCTGCATCCCTGCCTTTATTCCCAAAGATTCTGGGATGGCCCCCGTGGAACCCGGGGACTCCTGGGAGCAGCGGAGCCCCTCCGAGCCCAAATCCCTGCGCGTGGCCTCCGACCACAAATACCACAGGGCAGACAAGCAGGGCAAGAAACCCACCTCCAGCAAGGTGTCCCCCGGGCCAGGCGCTGCCTGAGCCAGCGGATCCCAGCCCGCTGGCCTCTCCTCCCAGGGAAAAAACCCCTGGAATTCTCAGCAGGGGCAGCAGCGCCGCGTTCCAGGTGTTCCCTCCCCGCCGAGCTCCGCCGGCCTGCGAGGCCAGCTCCCACTCCATCATCTCAGCCGAGCACTCGTACGCCTCCCCGCTGCCCGAGGATCCCGGGGCAGCCCCGGATCCCAGGGGGAGCCACCCCAGGAGCGCTCCAGCCGCTCCCTTGGTCGGGAAGGTGCTGCCCTTCCGGCACCAGCAGAGCAGCGCGGCCGAGCCTGCCCGGAGCCAGCTCCCTCCCAGGAGGAAGGAGGAGTTCTCCAGGAGCCACACGGTGAATCTCTGCGGGAATTCCATGAAGGTCACCTGCCTCTGGGAAGAGGAGTATCTCTTCCACCTGGACAGCAGGTACACCAACGATTCCCTGGAGAAAACTGTCATCCGTGCCCTGCATGGGTAAGTCAGCCTGGGGGCTGCAGGAGTCTGGGAATGGGGTTTCTGTGCCTTTAGCCCTCTGTGCTCCACATCTGTGGGGTTTGTGCCCTGGCTCGCTGTGGTTTCCTTGGAAAGGAGGGTCTGGGGGTGGTGGTGGGGTGACAGAGTGGATGGGACCCAGCCTCGTGTGCTGGACCCAAAATTCCTCCCCGTCCTGGGGTGATCCACAGTGTGGGCAGCAGGAAAAGGGGAATTGGGGAATTCTGGCCCTCCCAGGTGAGACCCCACCTACAGAGCTGCCCCAGCCCTGGGGACAACAGCAGCAGCACCTGGAGCTGCTGGAGAGAGCCCAGAGGAACCCATGGAGCTGCTGCAGGGCTGGAGCCCCTCAGTTCCCAGGGATCCAGGCTGGGAGAGCTGGGGGTGCTCCCCTGGGGAAGGGAGGGATCCAGGGAGAGCTTCCAGCACATTGCAGGCCTGCAGGGGCTCCAGGAGAGCTGCAGAGGGACTGGGGCCAAGGCCTGCAGGGACAGCACCCAGGGAATGGCTCCCAGTGCCAGAGGGCAGCCAGGGATGGGATCTTGGCAATGAGGAATTCCTGGCTGGGCTGGGATTGCCAGAGCAGCTGGGGCTGCCCCTGCATCCCTGGCAGTGCCCCAGGCCAGGCTGGACACTGGGGCTGGAGCAGCCTGGGACAGTGGGAGGTGGCCCTGCCATGGCAGGGCTGGCACTGGGTGATCCTTGAGGTCCCTTCCCACCCAAACCATTCCATGATTCTGCAATTCCCATGGCTCTGCAGCCAGAATCGGTCCCTAAAGCCACGACCCCAAGTCCTCCATCCCTCCTTTGGAGCTCAGATTTCCTCTGTTTTTATTTTTTCCTACAAAAAGCTGGAATCTGCATCAAGCAGTGTGTGCCCCTTTGCCTTGGGGCTGAGCCCTGCAGGGAGCCAGGCATGAACTCTCAGGGCTGAATTTCAGGGATGAACTCCAGGATGAATTTTAGGGATGAATCTCGGGGATGAAATCTCAGGGATGGATTCTCAGGGATGAACTCCAGGGATGAATTTCGGGGATGAAATCCGGGGATGAATTTAAGGGATGAAATATCAGGGATGGATTCTCAGGGATGAATTCTCAGGGATGAACTCCATGGATGAATTTTAGGGATGAATCTCGGGGATGATTTTCAGGGATGGATTCTCAGGGATGGATTTCAGGGATGAACTCCAGGATGAATTTTAGGGATGAATTCTCAGGTATGAACTCCAGGATGAATTTTAGGGATGAATTCTCAGGTATGAACTCCAGGATGAATTTTAGTGTTTAATTCTCAGGGATGAAATCTCAGGGATGAACTCCAGGGATGAATTTCAGGGATGAACTCCAGGATGAATTTCAGGGATGAATCTCAGGGATGGATTCTCAAGGATGAATTTCAGGGATGAACTCCAGGGATGAATTCCCTGGGGCTGAGCAGGGGAGGATGAGGATGGTTCCAACTCTCTTTGCTTCCCTTGCCAGGCCCTGGGACCCCAATCTTCCCGACGACGTGGAAGGGATGAAGCTGATCCTGCACATGTGGGTGGCTCTGTTCTACCGGAAGCCCAGCAAGCTCCTGAGCAGCTCCAGGAAGGTGGTGGAGCACAGCAACCCCAGCAAATTCGTCTCCATCAGCAGCTCCGGGGGCTTCCTGGAGCTCAGCGATGACAGCCAGGACTGCTTTGGCTTCGAGACGTGTGCTGCGGACTCGGGCTGGGATCCTGACCAGACTCCCAGCAGCTCCCTGGACCCCAGCCGCCCTGCCCAGGGCGCCTGCCAGCCCCAGAGGAGCCGCGCGCATTCGCGGACGGACGCGGACGGAGCCGCGGGAGCCGTGGACAGCACCGTGTCCTCCTCCTCGGGGGAGCTGCCCTGCACGGCAGGGGAGGAGGAGGAGGAGGAGCCTTCCTCCACCAGCTGTCCCGAGAGCCTCTCCCTGCAGGATCCTCCCAGGGAAAGGCTGGAGCTGCCCGAGGGCGTTCCCGAGGAGAGCGTGGTGAGTGCGGCCTTGGGGCTCCGGGGATGATCTCTGCTGAAAGAGCAGGGGATCCCCTTAGGAGGAGAGCAAGATGCTCCTCCTGAAAGAACAGGGATGGATTCTCAGGGATGAACTCCAGGGATGAACTTTGGGGATGAATTTCAGGGATGGATTCTCAGGGATGTTCCTCTTAGAGGAGCAGGATTTTCCTCCTGAAAGAACAGGATGTTCCTCTTAGAGGAGCAGGATTTTCCTCTTAGAGGAGCAGGATTTTCCTCCTGAAAGAACAGGATTTTCCTCTTAGAGGAGCAGATTTTCCTCTTAGAGGAGCAGGATTTTCCTCCTGAAAGAACAGGATGCTCCTCTTAGAGGAGCAGGATTTTCCTCTTGGAAGAGCAGGAGTTTCCTCCTAAAGGAGCAGGATCTTCCTCTCAAAAGAACAGGATGTTCCTTTTAGAGGAGCAGGATTTTCCTCTTGGAAGAGCAGGAGTTTCCTCCTAAAGGAGCAGAATTTCCTCTTTAAAAGAGCAGGATTTTCCTCTTAAAAAATCAGGATGTTCCTCTTAGAGGAGCAGGATTTTCCTCTTTAAAAGAGCAGGATTTTCCTCTCAAAAGAACAGAATGTTCCTCTTAGAAGAGCAGGATTTTCCTTTTAAAGGAGCAGAATTTCCTCTTTAAAAGAACAGGATTTTCCTCTTAAAAAATCAGGATGTTTCTTTTCAAGGAGCAGGATTTTGCTCTCAAAAGATTAGGATGTTCCTCTTAGAGGAGCAGGATTTTCCTTTTAAAGGAGCAGAATTTCCTCTTTAAAAGAGCAGGATTTTCCTCCTAAAAGAACAGGATTTTCCTCCTAGAAGGAGCAGGAGTTTCCTCTTAGGGAAGCAGAATTTTCCTTTGAGGGGAGAAGGATTTTGCTCTTAGGGGAGGAGGATTTTTATCTCTTAAAAGAGCAGAAATTTCCTCCTAGAGGAGCACAAGTTTCCTCTTAGAGGAGCAGGATTTTCCTCTGAGAGGAGCAGGTTTTTCCAGAAGAATGGAGATGTGCTTGTGGGGTATCCAGGGAAGCAGGGGTGCTCTCCAAGGGGCCGGAATCCCAAATTAAAGTGTCGAGCTGTTCCTGATTTAAATTTGGGGTTTGTGTGTCCTCAGCTGAGGGATCAGGGCAGCCCCCAGCATCCCAGAGCAGAATTCCAAATCCAGCACAGCCATTCCCACGTGGGTTTGGAAGGCTGGGATTTGTGGGCTCAGGAGATTTTCCCCCACACGGGTGCCAGTGCAGTGCTTTGCATCATTTCCCTTATCCCTCCAGTGAAATCCATGAAAATTCCATTCTGGATAAAGCTTGACATGAATTTTGACACTTTCTCCCATCTGCACATGTTCAGGAGTGGGGTTTCTTGGGGTAAATACAAAATGTGGGGATCTGCTGAGATATTTCCAGGCCTGGATTCTCAAACTTAAAAACTTGAACAGAGCAGCAGCTTCCATAGGGCTGGAATCGTTTTGCATGAAGGAAAAAATGTTCCAGTGTTTTTTATTCCTGCATTTTCCTATGAGGAATGCTTTTTTCTTGTTAACCTGTCAATTGTGTTCCAGGAGGAGCCGGCCAAGGAGGCCCTGCTGGGTGCCAGGATCACCCCCAGCCCTCCCGAGGAGCTCGGCTGTCCCAGCAAATCCCCGGAAAACCCCGGGAGCCAGACCCCAAACTCCAGCACAGCTCCATGGACAGAGCCCCCCCGTGCCCCCCAGGAAAACGGGGAGCAGCAGCAGAAAGAGCAGCAGGAGAAGGGCTCAGGGAGTGGCCCCGGCCCTCCCGAGGATGAGGAGGGAGCAGGAGGCTCTGGGCATTGCCCGGAAGGTGAGGGTGGCGCTGATCCGCAGCCCGCCTGCGATTCCCTGCCCTTGGAAGCAGCTCCTGGAAGTGCAGAGCCTGGGGGAGCCCCTGAGCAAGGGGAGGAATGCCAGGAGCGCTGGGAGCTCTCAGAAAAGGAGGAGAGGGAGATGGAGGAGGAGGAGGAGAAGAAAGAGAGCGAGGAGTTGGAGGATGAAGGCTCCTTCGCGGGCCCTGTGGGTTTGGTGCTGTCCGAGAGCAGCGATGCCGAGATGGAATGTGAGAAGAATCCCGGGAATTCGGCGTCTCCTGAGAAGTTTGGTGTTCCTGAACGGGACCCCCGTGGCCAGCGCCACCTCCCTGGCACCCCCGTGCCCTGAGAGATCCTCGCCAGCGCCCTCAGCTGGGGCTGGGACTGTCCCTGGAGCCTTTCCTGAGCAGGTGTCACCGAACCAGGAGGAGCTCCCGGATCCCTGGGACGCTCCGGAGGCAGAGACAGACGGGGTTGGAGCGGCCCCTCTGGCCGGGGTGGGCTCAGCCCACAGCGCCAGCAGGGAGCTGCCCGCGCCCCCTGAGCCCAGCCCTGTCCGTGGGGCACAGCCTGACAGCGTCACGGACAGCCCGGGGCCTGCTGGGGCCGCGCTGGGCTCCGGCCACAGCAACCGGCATCGGGCGCCCTCTGGAGAGCGCTGGGAGCCTGCCGGGAGCGCGGGATCCCCCTGCAGGCCGGGAATGAGCCTGGCCCTGTCCCCCGACACCAGCTCCGTGTGCCTGGCCTCTCCCCAGGGCTCCCTGGATCCGTGGGCTGCTCCAGAGGATCAGCCCGTGGAGAGCCTCCAGTCGCCCTCCCAGAGCGACCTGGGACAGGGCAGCTGCTGCTCCCGGCGGGGTGCGGGTGACGCCGATCCCTGCCCCAATTCCCTGGATGCTGAGGAGTCAGACCGAGGTGGGAACGGGGTTTTGGTGGAGGAACAGCTGGGGAGCCCCTCTGCCAACGGCATGGAGGAGCTGGATGATCCCATGGGAGCAGGAGACGGCCGGGACTCCCCCTTGGAGTACACAGACATAGGAGATGAGTGCGGAGCTGAGGAGAGCCAGGACGTGTTCCCTGGCACGGAGGATTCCCCTGGGAACGACACCGCGAACACGGAGATGGCAGAGATCCCTCTCCACCATCACCTCCTGGAAGCAGAGCCCTCCTCCTCCATCTCAGCCATACAGGAGCTCCCCAGGCAGCAGCAGCGCCTCCCAAGCATCCACGGGGACTCAGCTCCCGCTTCTCCTGGCGCCGGGGACTCCACCCGTGGCGTTCCCGGTGTGCCGGGCCGGCGGGAGTCGGTGCTGTGCCGCCTCTGGAAGCCGTGCCGGGAAGGAGGAGCCGCGCAGGTGAGCGTGGCTGCCTGGAGCCTGGATGGCTCCTTCCGTCCCAGCTGCTCCCGAGAGCTGGCGGAGTCCCCGGCTCCCTGCTCACCCGTGGAGGCGTCCGCAGAGCCGGGATCTGCTCCGCCTTCTCCATGTGAGCCATGGGACGATCTGGAGCCTGCAGAGCCGGGATCACCTCTCTCTGAGGCGCTACCTGGGATGCTCCCTCCCACTCCAGACAGTGCACGGTGGGCTGGGAGACATGGCAGCCCCAGGAGCAGCCCCAGGAGCAGCCCCAGGAGCTGTGGCAGCCCCAGGAGCCATGGGAGCCCCAGAAGCCATGGCAGCCCCAGGAGCCATGGGAGCCACAGGAGCCATGGTAGCCCCAGAAGCCATGGGAGCCCCAGGAGCTGTGGCAGCCCCAGGAGCCATGGGAGCCCCAGAAGCCATGGGAGCCCCAGGAGCTGTGGCAGCCTTGGGAGCCGTGGTAGCCCCAGGAGCAGCCCCCGAAGCTGTGGCAGCCCCAGAAGCTTTGGGAGCCGTGGTAGCCCCAGGATCCGTGGTAGCCCTGGAAGATGTGGGAGCCCCAGGAGCCCCAGGAGCTGTGGCAGCCTTGGGAGCCATGGCAGCCCCAGGAGCTATGGTACCCCCAGAAGCCATGGTACCCCCCAGGAGCTGTGGCAGCCAGGGTAGCCCCAGGAACCATGGTAGCCCCAGGAACCATGGTAGCCCCAGGAACCATGGTAGCCCCATGTGTGGTGGCAGCCCCAGGAGCTGTGGCAGCCCCAGAAGCTGTGATATCCCCATGAGTGGTGGTAGCCCCAGGAACCATGGTAGCCCCATGTGTGGTGGCAGCCCCAGAAGCTGTGGCAGCCCCAGAAGCTGTGGTAGCCCCAGGAACCATAGCAGCCCCATGAGTGGTGGCAGCCATGGTGGCCCCAGGAGCGGTGGCAGCCCCAGGAGCTGTGGCAGCCCCAGGAGCCTTGGCAGCCCCAGAAGCCCCGGCAGCCCCAGGAGCCTTGGCAGCCCCAGGAGCCCTGGCAGCCCCCAGAGCCCGGCAGGGGATGCCGGAGGGAGCCCCAGGGAGGAGCCCTTCCTGCCAGAGGAGCTGGAAGGAGGCAGCATTCCCAGTCCTGCACCGTTCCCAGCCCAGGAGTGTCCCCTGTGCCAGCCCTGGGATGTGTGTGAGCACAACCCTGAGGGGTCCCAGGTGTTCCCTGATCCTGACTGTGCCGGCGCTGAGGTGGGACAGGGAGAAATTCCTGCTTCTCCCATCCCCTGGGATGAGCCCAGGGATCTCTCTGGAGAACACCTGGAGTTCAGTGATGCTGAGGATGTTTTGGATGTGCTCCCAAGGGAAGAGCAGCTCCCAAGCCAAGACACACACGGGGGCTTGGCCTTTGAAGATCCATTGGAGAATTCCTTTGGTGACTCAGACCAGGAATATTTGGAGGGGAATTCTCACTCCCCTCTTCCAAGCAGGAGTTCCTGCATCATGAGATCCATGGATGCTGCAGGAGCAAGGACTACCTGGGACAGCTCCTCCGGGAGCTCCGTGCCCACGGAGGAGCCTGGGGAGGCCTGGGACTGGGATGTGCCCGTGGATCCCGGGAGCCTCGTGGTCACCAGGCAGTGCCAGGAGAGGCTGGAACATTCCCAGCTGCCCCGGGGGCGCGGCCGCCGTGCCCGCCAGTCCCACCTGGCCCGGTCCCTGCTGGGGACCTGGAGGGGCCTGGAGGAAATCACCCAGAACACTTTGGACATGGAGTGTCTCCGCTTCCATTATAAGCTAAAAGAAATCCTAAGGAATGGCCAGCCCTCCTTTTCTACCTCCAAAAGCCTCTTCCCGAGGGACTTTGCTCCGCACATGCCGCTGTCCCCCGCGCAGCAGGAGCCCCCTGCGGGTGACGATTCCCCCCTCGGACGGGTGGCCCCGTGCCCGCAGGGGCCCTCGGGCCGCCAGGAGGGCCCGGAGCCGGGAGCGCGGGGCCGCGCTGCGCCTGGCCCGGCTGCGGCACCGGCACGGCCCGGGGACAGAGCCAGAGCCAGAGCCAGAGCCAGAGCCAGAGCCACGCGCGGACGGGAACGGGGCCGTGGCCGGCATCCTGCACGAGTTCTCCGAGTTCCAGAGGGTGCTGCTGGCTGGGGCCCGGGCCGGGAGCGCCGCCCCGGGGCAGGGGGAGGCCGCGGGCAGCCGGGCGGGGCTGGCCCGGCCCCGCGGGACGGCGGCGTTCCAGGGAATGGTGGCGGAGCTGCGCGGGGCCCTGCGCTGCCACCTGCGCCGCGTGGCCGCCTGCCGGCAGCCGGGAATGTTCTACCTGCTGGAGACCGGGCAGCAGCCCTTCTTCGACAGGGTGAAGGTGCGAGCCGCTCGGGGACCGGGGCGAGTGGGGTGGGTGGGTGGAGTGGGGTGGGTGGGGATGGATTGGGATGGATTGGGATGGATGGAGATGGATTGGGATGGATCAGGATGGATTGCGATGGGTTGGGATGGATTGGGATGGATTGGGATGGATCGGGATGGATGGGGATGGATGGGGATGGATGGGGATGGATGGAATGCATTGGGATGGATCGGGATGGATGGGGATAGATTGCGATGGATGGGGATGGATGGAATCAACTGGAATGGATTAGGGTGGATCAGGATGGATTGGGGTGGATGGAATGGATCAGGATGGATGGGGATGAATTGGGATAGATGGGGATCAATGGAATGGATCAGGATGGATCAAGATGGATGGAATGGATTGGAATGGATTAGGGTGGATCAGGATGGATGGGGATGGATGGAATGGATTGGGATGGATTAGGGTGGATTGGGATGGATGGGGATGGATGGAATGGATCAGGCTGGATCGAGATGGATGGAATGGATTGGAATGGATTAGGGTGGATCAGGATGGGTGGGGATGGATTGGATAGATCAGGATGGGCAGCTCCAGGGGAGAGCTGAGGGTGGCAGGAGCAGGGAAGCTTGGGCAGCCTGACAGGGATGGTTTGGGAGCCAGGAGCCACCTTGGCTCCCAGTGCCAGGAGTTGGAATCACAGGCACAGGAGCCTTGGGATTGAGTCATTGGAGAATCATGGAATGCTTTGGGTGGGAAGGACCTTAGGGATCACCCAGTGCCACCCTGCCATGGCAGGGACACCTCCCAGTGTCCCAGGCTGCTCCAGCCCCAGTGTCCAGCCTGGCCTTGGGCACTGCCAGGGATGCAGGGGCAGCCCCAGCTGCTCTGGCAATCCCAGCCCAGCCAGGAATTCCTCATTCCCAATATTCCATCTAAATCTGCTCTGGCTGATTTGAAGTCCAAGCCTCCCCCAGCACTGCCAAGGCCCCCATGTCCCCAAGTGCCACATCCATGTGCCTTTTACATCCCCATGTGCCTTTTCCATCCCTGCAGGGCTGGGGGCTCCCCATTGCCCTGGGCAGCTCATTCCCCTTCTGTCCCCGTGCTCCCAGGGAAACATTCCCCACCCAGGCCTGCCCTGTGTGTGTTGCAGGCCCTGCTGACGGCAGAGGGGTTTGTGAGGATGGAGCCCCTGAGCTTCTGCCGAGCCCAGCGCGGGGACAGCGAGCGGCTGCTGGTCATCATCAGGAACGAGGACATCGCCTCCCACATCCACACCGTGAGCCTGAGCGCCCCTGCTCCTTCCCTCAGCACTGGGATTCATTCCCAGGATCCATTAAAAATGTGGGAGCAGCCCAGCTCAAAGCACTGAGGCTGAGCTTCCCTGGCCCAGCCTCACCCTGACTCAGCAGTTCAGGGAATGTTTCATCTCTGGGTTGGGGTGTGAGGACAGGAATGTTGGGCTGGGCTGGGCTGAGCTGGGCTGGGCTGGGCCGGGCTGGGCTGGGCTGGGCTGGGCTGGGCTGGGCTGGGCTGGGCTGGGCTGGGCTGGGCTGTGCTCCCTGGGCTGGGCTGGGCTGGACTGGGCTGGGCTGGGCTCCCTGGGCTGGGCTGGGCTGGGCTCCCTGGGCTGGGCTGGGCTGGGCTGGGCTGGGCTCCCTGGGCTGGGCTGGGCTGGGCTCCCTGGGCTGGGCTGGGCTCCCTGGGCTGGGCTGGGCTGGGCTCCCTGGGCTGGGCTGGGCTGGGCTGGGCTGGGCTGGGCTGGGCTCCCTGGGCTCCCTGGGCCGGGGCAGTTCCCAACTCCCTGCTCTGGAGCAGGTGCCGTGCCTGCTGGAGCTGAAGCGCTGTCCCAGCGTGGTGTTTGCCGGCGTGGATGAGCCCGAGGAGGTGACGGGTGACACATTCCAGGAGCTCTTCCAGGCCGGAGGGTTCGTGGTGTCTGACGAGGAGCTGCTGGAAAGGGTGACCCTGGGTGAGTCTCACTGACATTCCCAAACCTCCCCCTTGCTTCTGTTTCCAGGGGGATTCTGGCCCTCCCTCTGACTCCATCCCTCTCTCGGGGATGGGGTGCCCAGCTCAGGGGTCCCCAGAGCATCCCAGGACAGGGCAGAGCTGTCCCAGGATGTTTGTTTGGCCTGGAGACTCATGGAGTGCTTTAGGCTGGGAGAGACCTTAATTCCATGGGCAGGGACACCTCCCACTGTCCCAGGCTGCTCCAGCCTGGCCTGGGGCATTGCAGGGATGCAGGGGCAGCCCCAGCTGCTCTGGCAATCCCAGCCCAGCCAGGAGTTCCTTCCCAGGGAATACTGGGAGTTCCTTCCCAGTATGCAGTGGAACAAGGAGGAGAACTTGCTGCTGCCTTCAGCTCCTTAGTGGGAAGTGGCCCAGCAAACGGAGCCACCTCTTCTGGGAGATGCTCCATGAGGTGACAGGGAAAGCTGCACTTGTCCCTTCAGATATCAGGGAAAAACTCACGCCAGGAGATGACCCCAGTTCCCCACCCTGTGCAGTTGGAGTCTCCATCCTTGCAGAGGCTCAGAGCTCCCCCAGGTGGCCCCACTTGGAGCAGGGCTGGGCCCAGAGACCCCCAGGTCCCCCCTGCCACCCACGCTGAGCTCTGGTGTCCCCTCAGGCCAGCTGAAGGAGGTGGTGAAGGTGCTGGAGAAGCTGAACGGGAGCGGGAGGTGGAAGTGGCTCCTGCACCACAGGGAGAGCAAGAAGCTCAGAGGAGACCTCAGGTAAGGGCTCTGCCTGGAGGGTGGGGCTGGCTGGGATGGAGCAGCCGGGCTCGGGGCCTGGAGAGCAGCAGGTGGCTGGGAACGCTGTCCTGGGTGTGATCCTGGCTGGGGCAGAGCTCTGCCAGCTCTCCTTGCTCCCTGCTGGGCTTCCAAACGGCTCCTCCCTGGCTCCTGGGCAGAGGTGCCCTCAGGGAGTGCTGCAGGCTCCTGCAGAGGCACAGACTTCCCTTGAGGAGCTGCACATTCCCAAAGCTCCCAAAGCAAACCCAAAGAGCTGCACATTCCCAAAGCTCCCAAAGCAAACCCAAAGAGCTGCACATTCCCAGAGCTCCCAAAGCAAACCCAAAGAGCTGCACATTCCCAGAGCTCCCAAAGCAAACCCAAAGAGCTGCACATTCCCAAAGCTCACAAAGCAAACCCAAAGAGCTGCACATTCCCAGAGCTCCCAAAGCAAACCTCCCTCCCTCCCCAGCAGCTCATCCCAGCTCCTGGCACACCCCTGGAGCTCAGGGCACCTTCCTGGGGCTCTGCCCCCTCTGCTCCTTTTCCTGCCCCATCACAGCTGGGATTTGGGGAGGGATGGGGGCCTGAGCTGCGGGTGCAGAGAAGGAATTGCTGCTCCAGTTCCCACCAGGAATGGTTGAAGATGGAACTGCTCTGGCCTGGGTTCATCCATGGGTGGGTGAAGTGAGAAAACTCCTGGGTTGGGATAAGGAATTTTAACAGGGAAAGGAAGAGCTGGGAAAACCAAGGGATTCATCCCCATTTCCCATCAGAGGCCATCCCCAGGAAGGCCAGGCTCCATCATCAGCCCCTCTTCCTTCTCCTCCTCCCAGCTTTATATCCTGAGCCTGATTCCAGGCTCTGGAACACCCCTTGGGACAGGGGCACTCACCTGTCCTGGCCTTGTGCCCCCCAGGCCTGTGGGGTGAGTGAGGAGCAGCCTTGGCTTTCCAAACCCTGCTCCAGCAACAACAAAACCTCCCTGACCCACCCACAGCCCCCAGCACAAACCCCAAACCAACCCCTGAGGCAAAAATGAACCGACCCCGGGCAAAACCAGCACAGGCAACCCTGGATTGGGGGGAATTTGCCACTTTGGGTCCAGAAATCACCCGTGGGGCTGGAGAATCCACCTGGAAGGGCGGATGGGGCTGGAGAATCCACCTGGAAGGGCGGATCCCACCCTCCCTGCCCATCCCCTGAGCCGGGCCCCTCTCTCAGCAGGGCCGATGGCAGCGCCCAGAGGAAGCAGCTGCTGCTGAGGTGGTGCCAGGGGGCAGAGCTGCTGGAGCTGCTGCCCTTCCACGGCTGCGACTCCGCGGCCGAGCCCCCGCGCGCCCAGTGCCTGCTGGGGCTGCAGGCGCAGCACGTCCGCGCCAGGTTCGCCGTGTACCTCACAGGTGAGGCCATCCCCGGCCCTGCAGCTCTGAAAGTGCCCTGGAAAGGGGTGGGGAGGGATAAAAAATCCCTGTTCTCCTGCGGGAATCGCCTCTTCCCGGTGCGGGTCAGGTGTGGGTGGTGAAAAGGAATTGGGGGTTTTTGGAGGTTGATGAGTTCCAGGGGTTTTTGGAGCCGTGGGTGGCTGAGGCTGTTGGCAGAGCAGCAGAGCAGCCACGGTGGGGTTCAGGGATGTTTCCTCCTTTGCTGGAATTAACGGAGCTGCTGCTCCTCCCCTTGCAGAAAATCCCAGCAGCAGCTGCAGGGAGATGCTGGAAAGCAAAGGAATTCTTGTGGCTGACATCGCCACCTTCCTCGGGACGGTGCAGAAAGTGGCTGCTCCCTTCAGAAGAAGCTACTGGTAAGAGGGGAAAGCTTGGGATTGATCCCAGAAAGCTGGGACAGCTCAGGGCTGGCTGTGGGGGGGCCAGCAGGGAGCTGGGATCATCCCAAAGTGCTGGGTGTGGGATCTGCCAGTCAGCACTCTGATCCCTGCAGCTGGATCCAGGAGAGCCATGCCTGGAAAACGGGAAAAACTCCAGGCCCGGCCCTGGGAGGCTCTGCAGGAGGCCCAGAGGGTGCCAGGCACTGACCTGGGCCACGTCTCTGTGTTGCAGGTGACAAAGTGAAGCCACCAGGACACGGCTCCTCCCCAGGCCCTGTGGCACCAGTTTGGGCACCCCGGTCCTGTGGGGGACATCCCCAGCACCCAACCCAGTGGATCCCCACCGTCCCAATGGATCCCAACCATCCCAGCCAATCCCAGTGCATCCCAGTGATTCCACTGGATCCCCACCACCCAACCCAATGGATCCCAGCCATCCCAGCCAATCCCAGTGCATCCCAATGATTCCACTGGATCCCCACCATCCAACCCATCAATCCCAGTGATCCCAGTGGATCCCCATCATCTATCCCAGTCAATCCCATCAATCCCAGTGGATCCCCATGATCCCAGTGGATCCCCCCCCCCCCCCCCCCCCCCCCCCCCATCCAAACCAGTGGATCCCCACCATCCATCCCAGTCAATCCCATCAACCCCACTGGATCCCAGTGATCCCAGCAGCTGCTGGGTGTGGGGGAAAGTCGGTTTTAGCTCTGTACATAAATCTTATTTAAAGGTGGGAAATGCAAACCCTCAGGGGGTTCATTCCCTGCCATCCAGTCTCACATAGGAAAGGTTCTTTTAAACGGTACAGATAAATTATTGGAGTGGTTTCGAGTCTCTTCCTGCAGCTGCCATTAGAGCAGGCAGATGAATTTCCCAAAGTCTACTTGAAGATGAGGAATGAGAACAAACCCCTTTCCACGTGGTCGTTGCTGTTCAGGCCCACACTACATTTCAGCTCACCCCCGTTGCCTCCTGGTACTGGTTCCCTGCTGGGACTCGTGGATCCCAGCACTGGAACCCCTGTAAATAGCGGGAAGCCAGGCTGCAGAACAGAATAAGCTCTTTTATTTATGGGGGAGAGGAGCAGCCCAGCCCCGTCCCCACCCGGCTCTGCGGGGCAGGGGCCTCCTTCAGCTCGTTTTTAAATGCCAGAGGCCGCTCTGTACAGGATGACTTTGTAAAGAGTTTGATTAATAAAACCTCCGAAACAATGGATGCACACAGCTCTGCTTTCTGGAGAGGAGGTCAGCATCCAGCCTTTCCCAACAGGGAAAGGGAGGGCACAGGATTTTCCAGCTGGGACAGAGGTGGGGAAAGCAGCAAGGAGTGAGCAGGACCGTGGTGGGCTCCTGGATGATGGATCCCATCGTGCTTCCCTGCAGGAAGGATGGAAGAACCAGGGGAATGACCAGGTTACAGCAGGTAGGGATCATGGGATCATTGATTTTCCACCTGGTTTATGGGCATGGCACAGAGGGAGCTGCCCCAGCCCCACTCCCAGCAGCCGAGGGTGGGAATCGCTCCTGCCAGTGGCACCTCAGGAATTCTGCCAGTGGCACAGAGGGAATGGCTCCTGCCAGTGGCACAAAGGGAATTGCTCCTGCCAGTGGCACAAAGGGAATTGCTCCTGCCAGTGGCTCCTCAGGAATGGCTCCTGCCAGTGGCACAAAGGGAATTGCTCCTGCCAGTGGCACCTGGGGAATTGCTCCTGCCAGTGGCACAAAGGGAATGGCTCCTGCCAGTGGCACAGAGGGAATTGCTCCTGCCAGTGGCACCTGGGGAATTGCTCCTGCCAGTGGCACAAAGGGAATGGCTCCTGCCAGTGGCACAGAGGGAATGGCTCCTGCCAGTGGCACAAAGGGAATTGCTCCTGCCAGTGGCACAAAGGGAATGGCTCCTGCCAGTGGCACAGAGGGAATTGCTCCTGCCAGTGGCACCTCAGGAATGGCTCCTGCCAGTGGCACAGAGGGAATGGCTCCTGCCAGTGGCACAAAGGGAATGGCTCCTGCCAGTGGCACCTGGGGAATTGCTCCTGCCAGTGGCACAAAGGGAATTGCTCCTGCCAGTGGCACAGAGGGAATGGCTCCTGCCAGTGGCACCTGGGGAATTGTTCCTGCCAGTGGCACAAAGGGAATTGTTCCTGCCAGTGGCACAAAGGGAATGGCTCCTGCCAGTGGCACAGAGGGAATGGCTCCTGCCAGTGGCACAAAGGGAATGGCTCCTGCCAGTGGCACAGAGGGAATTGCTCCTGTCAGTGGCACAAAGGGAATCGCTCCTGCCAGTGGCACAAAGGGAATCGTTCCTGCCAGTGGCACAAAGGGAATGGCTCCTGCCAGTGGCACAAAGGGAATGGCTCCTGCCAGTGGCACAAAGGGAATGGCTCCTGCCAGTGGCACAAAGGGAATCGCTCCTGCCAGTGGCAGCTGGGGAGGAGGAAGTGCCAGGGCCCCGTCTGGGAGGAAGGAGGGGAAGCCGCAGGCGGGCTCAGCTCAGCCTCGGGACCGCGATAGGATCAAAGCCCAGTTCCTGTGTGGGAACGGTGCCAGGGGGAGCCCGTGCCACCCTGGAGAGCTGCTCCGAGGCTTTCCCTGGGTTCTCCTGGCACTTGGCACGGCTGTGGCAGCCAGGGAATGGGGAAGGATCACCCGGGATTGAGCAGCTCGTGCTGGGGACGGAGAGCAGCTGAACAGGGATTACTGATTGCTGCTGCTGTTTCCAGCTGTGGCGCTGGGTGGCTGCTGCAGGAACAGGGACTGTGCCAGGGCACGGCCTGAGCCACAGCTGCCCCGCCAAACGCAGCCAGAGCAGCACAGCCTGGAAAGCAGCACGGAACCAGGAAATGCCTCCTGCAGGAAACGCTCCCGTCTCAGCCCGAGCGGGCAGAGCTGCTGCAGGATCTCAGCCTGGAGCTGCTGCTCCCGGAACTGCAGTGAATCAGACCAGAGGCCAGGAGTGGTTTCCAGAATTTGGCTTTACTTCGCAGTACAGAAATCATTTGGAGCCTTCAGGAGACACGAGAAGCACAGGCTCTGTCATGCCGATACCGCAGCGCCGTTTGGTCCATCCGAGAAGCCACCAGGGGACAGAAAATACTTCCACATCTTGCCTGCTCTGTAATTTGTTCTCTCAATTTTATTAAGATTAAAACACAAAGGAGCCTGAGGCACAGCTGTGTCCCAACCGATGTAAACGGGTTTAGAAGCTTAAGTGGAGGTTAAGTTCTGTGCCCAGAACGAAGCCAACATTTGCTGCTACAATAGGTGTGGGCTTTGTCCATGATACAACTTTGCCACAGAGTTAAGATTGATGGGAGAGACTTTTAGGGATGCTGTCCACAATAATGGAGTGCTCAGTTTCTATTTTCCTTGATATCAGGTTTGAGTGACATCAGCGTCACATCTACGAGCTCACCAGAAGCACAGGATTGTGAAGGATGTTTTACAAATGATTAAAAAGACAAGGTAAGACACAGCTGTCAATGAGTTATTTCAAATCTGCACCCACGTCTACGTCTGCAAAAATAATAATAATAATAGTAAGTTCAGTCTGCCTTTCGCTTATGAGGTTAGTCAGGAATATCAGTCAGGAATTTGCCAGATTCTGGACAGCAGCCCTACTAGAATGAAATAATTAACACATGATATCCAAAAAGGGAACATTACCAGTGCAGTACTCTTCAATCTCTCAGAGATGGGATTACAAAAGCAGGCCTTACAATATTGAATTTCGTACAGTGTTCATTAAGTTCCTTATATATTCATATTAGCCGATTTAAACTTCTCCTAATTAGAGACTCTCATTACTGCTGCTCCTCCTCCCCGTAGATGTCGTTCTTCTTGCGTTTCATCTCCTCGAAGTCGAACTCTGATCCCATCATCCTCTTGTAAATATCTTTGATGTCGTCGCACGTCGTCTCGAAGTGGGTGGTGGCGTCGTAGGTGCGCGAGATGAAGATCTGGAAGCAGAAGCAGCGTTGGAGCCCGAGCTGGGGCCCGTCCCCCCCGGCCCGGCTCAGCCCTCACTCACCTGGCTCTCGGTTCCCGGGTCGGTGGGTGCAAACAGGTCACTGATGCTCACAAACCTGCAGAACGGACAAAAGCCCCGGGTTGGTTTGGGCTGCTTTGGAAAAAGGACGGGCTCAGAGCGGGAGCGCTTGGGTGCGAGGGCAGCGCTCCAGGTGCTGAGCACGCTCGGCCTCAAGAGCTCTTGGAAGCCTCCAGCTGTCCCAGCAGAGGGGACAGGGGCTGGCTGAGGACTCACTTCTGCTCAATGGGCTCCAGGAGGTCCAAGGCCGGCTTGATCTCCTTCTCCGGGTCCGCGGTCTCCACGGTGGTGCTGGCGATGGCGATGTACTTGCCCTGCGCCGCCACGTTGTGGGCAGAGGAGATCATGCACACGTAGATATCTGGGGGGACAGGGCACAGCTGCAGCCCAAAACCCCCTCCAGGCTCAGCCCAAAACCCCCTCCAGGCTCAGCCCAAAACCTCCTCCAGGCTCATCCCAAAACCCCCTCCAGCTGCAGCCCAAAACCCCCTCCAGCTGCAGCCCAAAACCTCCTCCAGCCCCATCCCAAAACCTCCTCCAGCCTCAGCCCAAAACCTCCTCCAGGCTCAGCCCAAAACCTCCCCCAGCCCCATCCCAAAACCTCCTCCAGCCCCATCCCAAAACCTCCTCCAGCCCCATCCCAAAACCTCCTCCAGCCCCATCCCAAAACCTCCTCCAGCCCCATCCCAAAACCTCCTCCAGCCTCAGCCCAAAACCTCCTCAGCCCCATCCAAAACCTCCTCCAGCTGCAGCCCAAAACCTTCTCCAGCCTCATCCCAAAAACCTCTTCCGGCCTCATCCCAAAACCTCCTCAGCCTCATCCCAAAAACCTCCTCAGCCTCATCCCAAAAACCTCCTCAGCCTCATCCCAAAACCTCCTCACCTGCAGCCCAAAACCTTCTCCAACCTCATCCCAAAACCTTCTCCAACCTCATCCCAAAAACCTCTTCCAGCTTCATCCCAAAACCTTCTCCAACCTCATCCCAAAACCTTCTCCAACCTCATCCCAAAACCTCCTCAGCCCCATCCCAAAACCTCCTCCAGCCCCATCCCAAAGCCCTGCCCACATCTCTTCCCACTGCCCTGACACCTGGCAGCCCCTGGATGGTTTGGAGAACCTGCAGTGAGTCCCATCCTTGCCCTACATGCTCTCATCTCCTGCTTGAGCAGCCTGGACATGGGAGAGCCCCAAAATTCAGTTTCCCAAGATGGCTCCCCAAATCTGGGGGGATTCCCAGGGCTCTGTTCCATGCCGACAGCCCCTCCCCTCAGCCCTCCCCCACCTGTCCCAGTCTGGGGCATTTCCTGCCGCAGGTTCCTCACCAGGTTTCCCAACCACAGGCTCGTCCCACCTCCGTCCCCTAAGCGCAGCTCAGCCCTGCTGGGCCCTGGCAGCCCCTGGGGCAGGGCAGGAGCTGTCCCTGGTCCTGGCCCTGTCCCAGGGTGACCCCAGCTGACCCGCCCTGCACACACCTGATTTCCGGTTGACCTGGTTCTGTGGAATGATGATCTGGCACGAGTTGGCATCGTTT